CTAAGTGCAGGGCCACCTAGTGACTAAACGATATCATGACACTATCCATATTTCCATTAAAAGAATTATGCCCTATTGCAGGGGTCAGCAACCTTTTTCAGCAGGGGGCCAGTCCACTGTCCCTCAGACCATGTGGTGGGCCCGACTATATTTTTTTTTGGGGGGGATGAACAAATTCCTATGCCCCACAAATAACCCAGAGATGCATTTTAAATAAAAGGATACATTCTACTCATGTAAAAACACGCTGGGGGCCGGATTGAGAAGGTGATTGGGCTGCATCCGGCCCACGGGGCTTAGGTTGCCTACCCCTGCCCTAGTGTATGGAGCCCAGGTTTCCAGTTTTGGAGTGGAAAGCTATTGAAACAAGGTTGTCTAGAGTTCCACATGCAATGGTTATCTATTTTCCATTAAATAGATGTAGGAACATTTTGGTCTTTAATAAAGGATCGGCTCAGTAACAGCTAAGTCATAACTATAGCATTCTGTACTATTCTACAAGGACTCAACGGGACCATGGTAGGGATAAAGTGAAATAGAAACTTATCATGATAGTCTCTTGTGCACAGCAACACCACACCTTTTTGTAGTTCATCCAAAAGGTGCAGATGGTTATATAATTTTTTTACTTATTAGCTTCCTCAGACAACCTAGCACTATGAGTTGTCTTCCAAAGAGTGACAGCAAAAGTCATTGCAGAATGTGGAAAAATAGTGAATTGGCTGACTCCACTCCTATACATAGGAATTTCCTGCCCACTGATTTTAGGCTGACACCTTCACTGTATGGTTCTCAATGTATGCTTAAAACTTTTATGTTCAAGAAAGCCCATCCAGACATGATGTGCATTTTAATATATAATTTTATTTTATAAGGCGTACTTAAAAAACAACAACTGCTGACTATTTTGAAAAACTATTTTGAAAAAAGTTAAGCAAACTTTTTAATATCTTATTTTATCAGGAATGCTAATTTCCTATTTCATGTAAACTGCGTAAAGGTTTTGATGAACAAGCGTGACATAAATCCTGTTAGTTTGCTAGTTAGCAGATCAAATCTAGTTTACCATTGTGGGAGTGCAGAAACCTTGCACAGGTAAAGGACAGTTCGAGTGTTCACCCCACCCGTGCCATACAGGTGAAAGGAAGGCCTCCTTATAGGCTTTGGCGATTCCTACACTTCTTTAACTATTGGCTAGCTGAGATCCCAGGACTGTTGTAAGCAGGCAGCTGTGAAAAGCTGTAAGGTTAGCCAAATGGCCCACAGATGTCAATTCATTCCCCGCCTCCATGCCTTGGCAACACTGGCGGCTGCCTGGAGATCTCAAGTGTGCTGACTTCCTTGTGGAGAATGAGTAATTCACTCACTCCGTGTTATTAATTAGAAGATTAGCAGCTGTCAGGGGTGGACTTGTCGGCCGCAGAGAGAGAGAATGGGAGAGAGGGAGAGAGACTCTTTTAAGCAGGTCTGGAGCATGACTACGGAGTGTGCCAGCCAGCTCCCCTTCTGATGCTCAGGGCCTGCTTTCCCCATTAACGCTCAACTGGAGGGATAGGAGGGAATCCTGAGAACCTGAGATCCTTTCCAGAGAAGGGAACCCAACCCAAAACGTTCATTGCAGGCAGCTGTGCTAGAGCGACAGCAGCTGCTGGAGAGCAAAGCCCCAGGGACAGAGGCTAAAGGTCTCCTGCTGTACAAAAAAGAGAGGGAGCAGGAAAAAACCCCCAGCTTAGACCTTTCCGGCAGCTCATGAAAGCTAAGAAGCTGGGTGTGAAAAGAGTGCAAGGTGAGCTGGAGCAGTTAAGTCAACTGCTTCTTATCACCTCTTCTCTTTGAAACAGGCTGTGGGGTCCTGTAGAGTAGGGGATTCCACCTCTAGTTTCTCTGTTCCTTCATATGGTTTCATGCTCCTTTTCCTCAAGTGCAATGAGAAGTTCATTTGCAGCTGGAATAGGGAGGTTGTGGGCCTCCAGCTGTTGTACTATGACTCCCCTCAACCCTGACTGCTAGGGATGATGGGAGCTGGAGCCAATCAGCATCCAGAAGGTCACATGTTCCTCATCCCTACCTTACCAGTTCCTTTTTCCTTCAGAGGAAGAGCCCTGGAGATTTCATACCCTCCAGCATAGGAATATCCTAAATAATAATAATAATAATAATATTAATACCCCATCTATCTGACTGGGTTGCCCCAGCCACTCAGGGCAGCTTCCAACATATATAAAAATATAATAAAACATGACAATTAAAAAAGCTTCTCTACTTAGGGCTGCCTTCAGATGTCTTCTAAAGGGACTGTTCCTGGAAAATAAGGACACTTGGAGGGTCTGCTTATGCAAGTATCCAACAAATTTGATATATGATAATAATCATGTTTCATTGGAAATAATATTAACTCTGTTCAAAAGGTGTTATTTCCCAGTAAGTGTGCATCTTAACCAGTGGTTTAAGCAATTAAAATTTCTGAGGAAAACTCTGGTGGGTCTGCAAGTTAAAGTTACATTTCTTTATTCCTGAGGGCTATTTTGGTTCTGGTGGTTTAGTGCAATCATAATCATAAGTACCTGTATAATGTATTCTTATTTATATCCCGCCCAACTGGTTGGGTTTCCCCAGCTACTCTGGAATATGGAATGGACAAGGAAATATTGAAAATAAACTTTGTTTTTGTTTTAAATGTACATTGACTTATGCTTCCTTCATTATTTCAAAAGACATCCATTTTCAGGTTGTGATCATTTGCAAATTCATGCAAATTTAATTGGTTAAATTTTAATTTGGTTAAAAGAGAGATAATGAATCAACTGAAATATATTTCATTGGTTGACACCCAAAATATACACATGGCCTGATGGTGACCTGTGTTACACTCCATAATAGCCATAATGCGTAAAACCACATTTTGGAAATGTGTTATCAATCTACCATTCTTCCTTTTTGGATGGAGTCCAGATTATTAAGTATAGTACAACACCTATACTGCTTAACACCAAATGAGCATAATCTGAACAGGTTAAAAATATGTGCGAGACACATCCCCACCCCCACCCCAATTCAAAACATATGGGAAAATTGAAATTGCTTATTTAAAAATATATAAATATGTTTCACTAACTAGATATCTAACCTTTAGAGCCCTTATTCCTCCATATCCTTTTTTCTGAATGCCCTAATTTGCACATTTATAAAAACAAATATTAACTATAGTGGGCTGTGTTTTTAATTCAATATCAGAACTGAACTTTATTTATACTTGGCTTATATCCACAAAGATTGAGTTAATTTTCAGTTAAACTGCAGGTGAAAGACCATGTGCCCTATTTAAATTATTCAGCACAAATACATTTAAATCTAGTATAATAGGTGAATTCATCGTTACCGTTGCTTTGCAGCTTAGGATTGGAAAATGACCTCTAATAATAATAATAATAAACCTCCTCATACGGTGCTTAGATTTCAGTTGCCAACTTGCCACTAAGGACCTGATTAGCTATAAATTTATGGGAATCTGCAATAACTGGTGTTTGCCTCCTGATAATGTTTTCTGACACATTTCAGGAGACTCAGCTGATCTGTGTTAGAGATCACTGTACAGAATCTGCAGTTTATACAGGCAATAAGTAGACAGAAGGTCCATTTGAGACCTTTAGCTATAGAGAAGCACATAAGGAAAACGGTTTCCATAGAAACGTGCCCCAAAGCTGTCGTTAGTATAGGAAAAATAGTTTTATGATTATTTCAATGAAGTCTCGTATTTTTGTTTTCAGTACTAGGTAAATAAAATAGGTACAAGGTCAGTGGAGTGTGGGGATGATACTTGAAACATGGCGTCGGGTGGCGGCTTACATTGCAGTCTTCCATCAAGCACTCCATTGGATGGTGGGCAAAGTTCCAAAATGGCAGCCAAGTGAGTCTCTGTCTGGTATTCTCTCTCCTCCCAAAAAACAACATGTGACATCTTAAAAGCTACCAGATTCAATCAAGATGTAAACTTTCATAGGCAGGGGCCTACTTCATCATCCAATAAGATCCTGAACCAGTTTTTTTATGCATCCTGGGAAAGAACTTCTAGAAACCAATCAAAATAACATGGGCGGTCAGGATCTATTCAGTTCTCTAACAGCTCTGTATATTTTTGGCCCAACACATAGGCCAAAGTGGGAGCAGAGGACACTGCCAGTTCATTGGTTTATCTAGTTTAGTATTGCCTACACTAACTGGCAGTGACCCTGAGGATTTCAGACAGGAAGTTTGCCCTACCTGGAGATGCCAGAGGATGAGACTGGGACCTTCTGCATGCAGAGGTGATGCTTTAACATTGATGCTTTAACACTGAACCATGATCCTTGCATTTCTGTCCCAAGGAGCTCAGGTTGGCTATGGATCAGACCACCATTTTGACCAATGATTAAGCATTAGACGAGTAGAAAGTTGGCTGATTTTTAGCATCCATGTCTGAAGAGATAGGAAAAGATCACTCCCCCCCCCCCCATGGATGTATAGTGGGGGGGGGCACACAGCATATACACTGATGTAAACAATGTGTGGGAGGATCTTGTGGGAGTCTTACTTTCAGTCTGCCATCTTTATTCAAAATGGCGGCTGGCATACAATGGTCCGCGGAGAGTGGCACCCCCTCGTGCCAACTTTGGTGACGGTATCTCAAGAGGTAGCTACACCTTTCGAGAGAAAAATGGACAAACCATTTCCCAAATTTATCATAGATTATGGAGATTTCTACCTCAGCCTTTGATTGTGCTCAAGGTGGCTTACAACAGTTAAAAATGACAACAGATAAAAGAAATACGCAAATACATTAAAACAAGCCGTATTTGCAACAGATAAAAGCAGCTTTAAAAAAAGCATAAAGGAATTAATTCACTAAAAAAAATGTTAAAAACCTTGGCAGCAGTGAGTAATGTGATGGAGCACCACCACTCATGTGACCTCTGGTCCGTCCTTTTGCTGCTGCTTACTGGGAGGTAAAGTAGGCAGGCAAGACAATGGCAAGGTCAGTGCAGTGCAAATGCACCAGCAGAGCCAATCTAGTGCTCCCGCTGGTGTGTTTGCACCATACTGACCTCACCACCATGTCAACCCTCCCCCTCTATCTTCTGGTAAGCAGCAGTAAGACGATGAACCAGGGGTCAGGTGAGAAGCAATGTGCCATCTGCTACTGCTCCTTAGTCCAATAGGTCCAGCAGTTGCTGGAACAAAAACCACATTTCCTTATTTATTTGGAGTATATATACCCTGCTCTTCACCCAAAGGTCACAGGGTGGGTTACTGCATGATAACTATATGCAACAAATTATTTCAAATATATAACTTAATCAAAGCTTGGGAACAATAGCGCTTCCTTGCCAAACAGCAGGCACCTGCAAGAGAGGAGGGCTCTCCCCTGGCAGGGAACTCCGTAGCCTAACAAGCTGTGACTGGTAATGATTTCAGGAATGTACTTCATTCCCAGTGAGTATTAACCCAAATGTGCAATTTGCCTTTGCCAAGCTCTGAATTCCTCTAAATATACAGCAGAATGTGATTAATGCTTCAGATACTGATATCTTTAGTGATGTCCAGAACTGAGAGAGTACAATTAACACACACACACACACACACACACACACACACTGAAAATACATAAAACCTGAATGAGGCTCATACAATTTCCTTTCAGAAAGAAGTGCTTCCAGTGGGCTGCAAACACTAATTGATTAATTGGCATGTTTAATTAATAAATCAGCACTTTCAGATTTGGAGTCAAAATGATAATTTAAGTGGTCCACTGTGGGTTTCAGTGCTGATGACACTATCATTTTTAAAATTTATTTTTTAAGAGTCTGTATCTTTCATTCAGCCAATACGTTTTGGAAGTTTATGAAGAATAAGTTGTTTTATTTGTCTTAAAGTGATAATTAATAACACACTCTGATAGGTGACTAAGACCAAACTGATGCCCAGTTCATAAACACATCACCCAGATCCTGCATTGTTTGGTTGGAAAAGAGCTCTGATGCACACACAAGGATCACCTATTCAGTTTATTGGGGACAGTAGCTTCCTGCATGCAAAGACATGCTATTGCCCCTCCATTGAACTGAATGGGAAAGTTTATCTGGGCAGGATTTCTATGTATGTACTAGAAATGTAAAATCATGTAAATTTTGAAAGCATGTGAGAAAACCCATTTCCCCCTGTTCCCCCCCCCCCCCAGAAAAAAATAGAATTTTTTGGGGGGTGGAAAAATATGCAATACTTATTTTATCATCATCATCACCACTGATTTATTAACCACTTTCTAAACAACCGCCTCAAGACGATGTACAGGAGAGATAATTAAAAACAGTTTAAAACACACATTTGAATCCAAAAAAAACCAGTTTAAATACATTTAAAACAAAACTAAAACCATATAAAGCAGACATTCATAATAAAAAAAGAGCTGTTTTTTTCCAGCTGGATTTTTAGTGCCCTTTACAGCTCAAAAGTCACTTTGTTACTTTGGGAACCTAAAATGTATTATGTATAACTTGGTTTGTGATAAAAAATATCACCAAATCATGCTGTATATATTAAAAGCACAGTTTGCTCAGACAATTACTGCAAACTGAATTTTTTAAAATTTATATATTATTTTTTTTGCCTCAGAGCTACAAGCTACTGAACTGTAAGGAATCTAGCACCTTTCTCATTTTGCCGGTTTATGAGGAGCACGCCCAAAACAATGAAAACAGGAGAAACCATCAACATTATAGTAAAACAAAGAGAATTAGTATGTATTCTGAAGATTATTATGTCTCCTCCGGTCCTCCACAGCGTCAAGCCGCATTCATTTCCATAAAAGAACTGGAAAAAGAGAGGGTGGAAGAAGATTCAGTGAACACTACATGAAATTGAATCAGTCTTATTTTCTGAGCGATCACTATCACTTTCTCCTTCTGCTTCTTTGTGTTTGTCATTATATTTATTGTGATTTCTAAAAATGGAAGGTTTTGCCTGGATGGAAACAAACTTCTCTGCCCTTTCACATGTCACAAACTAAAATGTTTTCATTTTTCAGAAAACAAAGAAACAAAAAAAGGCTTTCGGAGGACATGGTTCCCCCATCCCAAATTTTTCTGGTTCCCCATCCACCCACAGGCCTTGACACCTCTAGAAGGCATGCAATATACCAGAGAACACACAACATGGCATTTGATCAACAGGGCAATTCTGAGGAAGTTAATCCCACTGTGCTTAAGATCCAAAGACAATGTCTGGCTGTTCATAGTATTCACACAAATGCTGCAAATAAAGTCTGTCTCATTTGCAAGTATCTGCCAGCGCTGTGCGGCGGTCTGGAGTGTGTCAGGTGCTACAAACTGGAAATCCAAACAGGAGAATGACCAGAAGGCAGGACTGGAGAATGAGCCAGGAGTCAAGACCAAAGACCAGAAACATAAGCCATGCTGGAATTCCAGTCAACCATGTTACCTCTCAGACAAGAAGCCCTGAATTCCACAGTGCCTCCAAGCAAGAGGAGTCCATGCTGCATTTGCTATCATTTAACCATCCTTTGTGCATGCCTTCGTTCTCTCATCCTAGCCTCTAGGGACTAACAAGGTTGTGTGTGTGTGTGTGTGTGTGTGTGTGTGTGTATAATTAGTTTTGCCATATACCCCCAATAATAACCTAACTATAACAATAACAATTAATTCCCAAATTATACAATTATCAAAATGCCAATCAACTTCCAATTAATAGATTTTAGTTAAAGTGGCTCCCCGCATGGTGGTTTGGGTGCATTGCCAATCCACTGATTAACATCAGTTACATTTAGTTACAATAATAATCCCTTAGTCAAGAGTGGCATAATTATTGATTTCCATTTGCGATGTTACAATATATAGATTTATAAAGCTTCAGGTTAGGAACTCAAACTGAGCTTGAGTCTGGACTAAGGAGTCTGAACTCCTGTGTTCTGATTTGATACAAGATATCTAATCTCAGAACGTTTCAGGATTTGAGCCTCTGCCATTGGCCCTTAAACTCTGAGTTATGATTCACAGCTTGGAAGTTTAGACAGCCAATCACATTGGGAGTGGGAGTGGCCCAGGCCTTCAGAAATGTATATAAGCAGTTGCTTTGCCCCTGTTGTCCAGTTCTGTTAGTTCAATTGTGGGAATGTTCAGGGATGCAGGAGAGGATGTATTGTTTGATTATATCCTTTCCAACTTGTGTTAACAAGTTCCACAATTTAGCAGAGTAACATTCCCCTTTTTAAACAGTGGATGCGTTTGCTCAGGCTCGCTAAAGCCTCTATAATAGCTGTCCTTTTATTTTCCCCTTATTCCCTCATAAAAGATAAGACATGACACAGTCTTCTATAAAAGTATAAAAAGAGTTTACTCACTCACATTCTGTTCACAATTGGATCCCAGAAAGCAAAGTTAGCTTAGAAAAGTAATGTACACCTGGAAATTATCCCATAAGGAGACAGTCCCTTTGTCCTCTCTTAGCTGGAGAGCATCTTTAGGCTAAGCAGATGTTGCTTCTTCAACGAATGTAGTCAGAGACAGATAATAGAATCATAGAATCATAGAATCATAGAGTTGGAAGAGACCACAAGGGCCATCGAGTCCAACCCCCTGCCAAGCAGGAAACACCATCAGAGCACTCCTGACATATGGTTGTCAAGCCTCTGCTTAAAGACCTCCAAAGAAGGAGACTCCACCACACTCCTTGGCAGCAAATTCCACTGTCGAACAGCACTTACTGTCAGGAAGTTCTTCCTAATGTTTAGGTGGAGTCTCCTTTCTTGTAGTTTGGATCCATTGCTCCGTGTCCGCTTCTCTGGAGCAGCAGAAAACAACCTTTCTCCCTCCTCTATGTGACATCCTTTTATATATTTGAACATGGCTATCATATCACCCCTTAACCTCCTCTTCTCCAGGCTAAACATGCCCAGCTCCCTTAGCCGTTCCTCATAAGGCATCGTTTCCAGGCCTTTGACCATTTTGGTTGCCCTCCTCTGGACACGTTCCAGTTTGTCAGTGTCCTTCTTGAACTGTGGTGCCCAGAACTGGACACAGTACTCCAGGTGAGGTCTGACCAGAGCAGAATACAGTGGCACTGTTACTTCCCTTGATCTAGATGCTATACTCCTATTGATGCAGCCCAGAATTGCATTGGCTTTTTTAGCTGCTGCATCACACTGCTGGCTCATGTCAAGTTTGTGGTCAACCAAGACTCCTAGATCCTTTTCACCTGTACTGCTCTCAAGCCAGGTGTCACCCATCTTGTATTTGTGCCTCTCATTTTTTTTGCCCAAGTGCAATACTTTACATTTCTCCCTGTTAAAATTCATCTTGTTTGTTTTGGCCCAGTTCTCTAATCTGTCAAGGTCGTTTTGAAGTGTGATCCTGTCCTCTGGGGTGTTAGCCACCCCTCCCAGTTTGGTGTCATCTGCAAATTTGATCAGGATGCCCTTGAGTCCATCATCCAAGTCGTTGATAAAGATGTTGAATAAGACCGGGCCCAAGACAGAACCCTGTGGCACCCCACTAGTCACTCTTCTCCAGGATGAAGAGGAACCATTGATGAGCACCCTTTGGGTTCGGTCAGTCAGCCAGTTACAAATCCACTGAGTGGTAGCATAGTCAAGACCGCATTTTACCAGCTTCTTTACAAGAATATCATGGGGCACCTTGTCAAATGCCTTGCTGAAATCAAGGTAGGCTACATCCACTGCGTTCCCTTCATCTACCAGGCTTGTAATTCTGTCAAAAACGAGATCAGGTTAGTCTGACATGACTTATTTTTCAGAAATCCATGCTGACTATTGGTGATCACAGCATTCCTTTCTAGGTGCTCACAGGCTGTTTGCTTAATGATCTGCTCCAGAATCTTCCCTGGTATTGATGTCAGACTGACTGGGCGGTAATTATTTGGGTCCTCTCTTTCCCCTTTTTGAAAATAGGGACAACATTTGCCCTCCTCCAGTCTGCCAGGACTTCGCCTGTTCTCCAGGAATTCTCAAAGATGACTGCCAGTGGTTCTGAGATCACATCTGCCAGTTCTTTTAATACTCTTGGATGCAGTTCATCTGGCCCT